ATATATATATATATTTGATCTAAGCAAAGCTCATCAAGCTCGGATCACGAGCCATTTTTCGAGTCAAGCTCGAGGCTCCTCACGAGTTGACTTGACTCACTTACATCCTAGTACAAACATAAGAGTTTGGGGTCACTCCAACCCGATATTTCTTTTAGAGCACCACTATTGTAGGCAACATCATCAATGGTAACACATTTGCTCATTGTATAACACTACAGTAAATTCATTGATTACCGGCGGTTGTCCAGCCGCCAGTGGTAACGACGGCTTAACCGACAGTCTAACCGTCGGTTATTACCGGCGGCTTAGCCGGCCGTTATGCAAGCATAAGCCGCCGGAAATAGCGGCGGCCTAGAAACCGCCGGTTAAATCGAAATAAAATAATTCATGCAACACTTCAAAATGAGATAAATGCAAACACTTCAAAATGAGATAAAATAATTCATGCAACACTTCAAAATGAGAATGATAGCGAAAGCAGAGGGAGATTAAAATAGGATGCTCATTCTTTTGATATTGAAGTTCTTCTCAAAGACAAAATATAAATGACTTGTTGAAACTTTTGAAGTTTATGGACAAAATAATTTTGTTTGAATGTTGCAAAATCTCTTGTAGGGCATGCTTTGTAACACCTATCACGTCTTAACCCAAGTAATTAATTTGACCTCGCATAAATTTTTGCTTAATCTAGATATAATCATCAATTATGAATTGACATGTCTTATTAACTCTAAATATTATTAGAAAGATAAAAAGAAATTAAGAGTAGATCATGAGTAGCAAAAAATGTTCTAGGTGTGCCATAGTGTTGGGAAGGGCACTGCGACACTTAGCTCTTTATCTTGGAAGAAATATAAAAGGGGTGCCATAGTGCTGGGGATTGCATCGTCGTGGCTCCAAGCTCTCTGTTCGGGTGAATAAGATAGAGTCAGGAATATTCATCCCAGCGCAATAACACAGGGAAGACGAGCACTGCGGAGCTCTCTCTCTCTCTCTCTTTTCGCACAGACTATGACTTAATGTTGCAAGCCGACCACTAGGAGCTTCCATTCTAATATGAACAACCAAATGAACTTTAAACACGGCTAAGCTAACCAGAGAAAAAACAAGATTTGCATGTGCCATATGACATAATACATTCATGCTTCTATGGTTGAGTCAGGTTAGAAAAATAATTTATATAACCTGAAAAATTAGTAGTAATCAAACCATTTAAGTTGGTGAGCAAGGATGAGAAATGAAGAGTAGGCAAAGAGGCCACAGTTAACTCAACGTCTCAACCCTTCATCCAACATCTTCCTATCCAACCTACCAATTAAGCAATCCAGCTATCAACCAAAGAAACTTTTTTGTAATATAAAATCCATAAGGATTTTTTTAAAAAAAATTTTGTTATTATTTATATTTTTTATTTATTTTTATTTTATTTTATTTATTAGGAAAGGCATTTGCTATATCCATCATTAGGTGGGATAAGTATAACAAGAATCAATACAATTTTTATTTTAACAAATTCCCAAATGTAATAATTTTATTAGGATAAAATAAATGAAAAATCTTATTATCAAATTTTAAAACATATTTTTTATCAACAACCGGTAGTAGAGATCCAACACGACTGATTTTTAGCATTCGGACTAATAGAGAAAATGCAACCAATCAAACAAATGGATTATTGAGAATAAATCTTTCCACTGATTTCATGTGGTTTAACACATGCCAGCGTTAAAAATCTTTGGCAACAACCCTTTTCTATAAATGCTGTCTTGGGATAGAGATTATTCTGTACAGACGCCGAACGCCGTCCGGAGACTAATCAGAATGTGCCACGTCACCTTTTCGCTCGGTACCGCGGCTCGGTATTGTTCGGTACCGCTGCTTGGTACCACTGACATGAGGTCTCCAAATGATGTTCTGCATGTGGCCTCTGCACTGAATAATTTCTGTTGTTGGGGACAACTTTCTTACAGCTTTTTAAAACAGCATTTAAAAAAAAAATTATTCAATTAGAAATTTTTATGCTAGAAAGATGCTTAAATAAGCAAGAAGAAAGCTCTCCCAAAAAAAACCTATATTTTGTAACATAAAACAGAGACTTTATATAAATATGTAATTGACTGATAATACCTTTTGCATAAACCCAGGTAAAATCACTTTTTATTTTTTTTAAAGAAAAATATATTAATGAAAATCAAAACAGTTATAGCTTTGATAGACAAAAAAAGCTAAAAATAAAACGGAAAATTTGTCTTTAAGAATCGGTGCCGATTCTACGATTCGCCATTCCGATTGACCTGGCGGGCGTTTTTTATCCAATTTGATTTGAAACTGATTATAAGGGTTGATCGAACCAATCGGTCAGATCTTATTTTTAAAATCATGCCAAAAATAATGCAAAATATCAACTATATTAATATAAAAATTTAAAATTAGATAGATAAATACTGCGAAATATATTTAATTCCCGCATTTAATTGAAGTATAAGGAAAAAAAACGTTGGATAATGACGAAATTTAAAGTATCGAAGGACGTGCCTTTATTACAAAGGGGTTCCAAACGCTGCAGAAATTATTTCTTCACAGCAGGCTTTATAACCAAGCAACTGGAGCTTGAATCAAGAAACAGGGCTCAGCTACCTTGCTCCACGACACATAAGAGCAAACCTTCTCCTTCTCATATTGTTTTCCCTACTTCATTCTCCCCCATCTTTCATCATTCCAATTTCAGCCATGGAAGTTCTCCTGGTTTATCTCCTGTTCATGATGGCCATGGCTAGGGATTCAGGTGAGAGAGTAGCTCTTTCTTCTTAGTAAGATGCGCACTTTTTCTTCTTTTTCGAGCAGTTAAGAGGCATGGCTATCACCCCCATCTACCAGTATCTTTCAAGCATCTTCCATGTCTTGCTTTTTTACTTTTCCTAGAAGTTTTTAGTTTCTGAAGTTCAATTTCACTGAGTTAGGCCAAAGTTTTAGCAAAGACGATGGATTTAGATTACTGCGGTCTCAACTAAAAAGAAAATTGCGCACTTTACATTTTAGAAGAATATTACGTTTCCAATAAGAAAACTCTTGCCTTTATTGATTGATTTTGCTGAACTATCTTTTACCCTTACAATTCCTTCTAAATTCTTTCTCTTTTTCGGAACTGTTGGGGTTTAAAGCTTTCTTTTCTTCTTCAATCTGTCACTAGTATAGGTGGTTAACTTCTTTTTTTAAATCTTGTCCTTTTTAGTTTTGTTGTGAGTCCAATTTCTTTATGTTTGTTGTTCTTATTAGTAAGCTAAAATTATGTTTTTCTGTGTCTTCGGGTGGAAGATGGTGCTTGGTGTGTGTGCAAGACGGAGTTAAGTGATTCTGCCTTGCAGAAAACACTTGATTATGCCTGTGGAGCTGGAGCTGACTGTGCTCCTATAAACCAGAATGGAGCTTGCTATAATCCCAACACAGTGAAAGCTCACTGCTCTTATGCAGCCAATAGTTACTACCAGAGAAAAGGGCAAGCACCACAGGCCTGTGATTTTGCAGGGACTGCCACTCTGAGTGCACAAGACCCGAGTGAGTTCTTATTTTTCACTCATCATTTGTGATTTCTAGAGAGAAAGTAAGATTAGTTCACTAGTTGATATATTATTTTTCTTTGTTCTCGTTTTGTTTGTTTGTAGGTGCAAGTGGTTGCACTTTCCCCGCTTCCCCCAGGTAAATTTGTTTATTTGATCTGCATCTTTTGTTCATTACATGGTCAAAAGATGGGGCTATTTTTTCCCCATCTTTATACTTTGTTGAGATGATGGAGAGGGGAATAAAGATTGTTTCCACCTGATAAGATTTCAGCCTGGTGATGAGGCTTTGAGGGGGAATCTGATCCCTCTTTCCTGCTCAACCTAAAACTCGTATCTCTCTCCAATAATTTTTTATTTTATTTTAGAAGATGCCTATACCTTCCCTACCAGCTTTTAGTTCACATAATTCATGGCCCATGATCTCTTCTTTTTTCGATAGGATGTTCCCCTTAAAGTTCTTAGTATTAATTTGAATATGACCTCATTGCCACTTCATTTTCATGAGAATTTGCCAACCACATAATTTCAACAGTGCCTTCAGTGAGCCTTTTTCTGAGATGGCATAAGCTCCAACTTTTTGTAGTTTAGATTCAATTTGAAATCAACTCAAGTCATTTCAAATTGTGGCTTCGTTTGGGATGACTTTCTTAATGCTTCTTAAAGTAGCTTTCTAGTACGAACATTAAAATTTTTGTACTAGAAAGCTGTTTTAAGAAGCATTAAGAAAGCCGTCTCAAATGAAGCCTGAGTGTGGAGCCTAATTCTTCACTAAAAACTTATTTGAGCTGATGTAAAGCCTAATGTGGACCGCTTGAAGTTTTATTTGAGTTGGCTCAAATTCAGAATATGTATATAATTTTTGTTCATATAAATATAATATTATGTTGTTTTTGATATTTTTATTTATGTTCTCTATTATTTCACCTTTTATATCATAAGCATTTTGTAAAAAATGAAATATTATGCAATGTCTCGGGTAAATTTGAGCTATTTCGAGCCAGATCTTATTTCAAGCTCTACTATTGATATTTGAATTTGGAATTGGTTTGTTTCCATTCAATTTGACTCATCTTGATTGGCAATATAGTTTTGGTAGAGTTTGAGCTAACCAAAACTACAACATCTCGAGCTCGAGCCAAGCTCTGGACATTTGAACTCAATTTCATTCTCCTTTCTTCCACCCCAAATAATTTGATGAAGTTCTTATTTTTAATGGGAATATGCCTTCTTAGCACTTCTTCCTGAACATATACCAACCACATTACATTTCAACAGTGCTTTTAATGAGACACTTCAATCCTTATCTTTGGATGCCCTCCCAGCAACACCCTTCTAACACATGGAGAATCTTTTCCCTTCCACTGTTTCAATCATGTATGAGACACTTTAATCTTTTATGTATTTATATAGTAACCTCTAAATTTTTATATTTACTTATATACAACTTTACGCTTAATTTGGGACAGCTTTCTTACTTCTTTGTGAAGTTGTTGCACATAAAGTAACATTTTAAACTATTGTAGAAAGCAGTTTTCTAGTACAATATTTTTTTGAAAGCACCAAATAAGCAATGGCCAAGCATAAATTTTGGTTGCGGTTTGAAAAGCAAAGCAATAAAAAAACTATCACAAATACAATGTTAATGTCTAAATCGCATCAAAACATATATATGAAAAAGTGTGTTTTACTTTAAATAAGTTAATATTACTTGTATTTTTGGATGTAATTAAAAATTTTTTAGTATTATATAAGTAAATATAAGGATTTAGCTGTTCATTGGTGTGTATGTAAATCTCCCTGTTTAATGTGTTCTCATTGTCTAATCATGGAAAATCAAAATTTTATTCTCTTCCAGTGCTGCGGGCACAGGTACTAGCAACAACAATGGAACCAACACTGGCACGGGGATAGGTATGAACCCGGGCACGGGCACGGGCACGGGAACGGGAACGGGCGCAGGCACGGGAACGGGCGCAGGCACTGGGACAGGCACGGGCACAGCCACGGGTACTGGGACTGGCATTGGAACTTTTCCATCACCTCCCACCACCACCAATCCAGGCTCAGCAACTCCTACCATAATGACACCAACAAGTTCAGGGGTTGGAGGAGTCATTGGTCCTTCAGGAAACACCTTCTCTACTGATAATAGCAATGGTGATTACATTAAAAAAGGCTCAGGTTTCCTGCTTCTGCCCATTCTCTCTTCCCTCGTCATGTTAGGAGCTTGATTAGATTCCCTACACCTTTTAATACTATCATATGAATTGTGATGTCTAGAGTAGATGTAAGATGGGTTAATTTGTGGACTTCACCCTCGCTAGTTAATGTTATTTTTTTTCCTTCTTAGTCGCAAACCAAAAGAACTTTTGGCTGTTTGTATGTATCTATATCTCCCTTTGTCATGCTCTTTTATTCTTCTCTTTCTTGGAAACTGTAAAATGACGATGAAGGAAATTTTCTAACCTTCACAGAGTTAGGAAATCTCTTCCTCTCCTCTTTTGGTGGAGGGTTTATCATATTCAGCCTTATTACTGTATTACAGAGAATTATTTCAGTGACCCGAACTTATGACCGTCAGCACAAAACAAAGGCAACTATTCGCTACTTAAATTCACATTGGTGGCTCTATTATCTCTTGTATTTTTCTTCCTTGACCATGTGTTATCGTGCTCTGATTTACTCTCATTGGCTTTTATCTTTGAAGATGAAGGAAAACTATGTATTTGTTTATGCTGATATCTTATTGTTTAAGGGTTGTTTGATTTAATGAAAAGTGAATGAAGTATTTTAAATGCTGGGTTTTAGAAATTTTGGTATTTAGTTTGTTAAAGAAGAATGAAAAGTAAAAACTCGATGCATTTACATCTTTTTGATGTCTCTTAAATTTGTCCGTTTTTAATCAATTATCAAATACACTACAAGATAATTATGTTGTTGTCGCCGACCACTGTCAATGTGCACCTGCCACTATTTGTTGCTGGCAAAATTCGCTTGTCGTCGGCAGCCCGCTGCCACCAATCTGCCAATAGATGACGCTCTCATACTCTAGTTGCTGCTCATCATCATTGATCATTGTGGTTCTCACTAGCAACAACCCCGTTATCGTTCCCACTAGCAACAACCCTCCATTCTTACTAGCCACCAACAACCGGTCACAACCATCGTTGATCTTTACACTTTTTATTTTACTACAAAGTAAAGAAAAAAATAACCATATGTGTTTATTTTACACTTATTCAAACAACTTCAAACATATTAGATACATTGTATTCATTTTGTATTGTATTATATTTTATTCCACATTCCCTTTTAAGCAAATCATAGAGCCCCTCAAACTATTTTTAAACCTTATTTGTTACACAATACATATTGTTGCGGGCTAGAAAATACGCGACGATAGAGATTTAATTCTATGTCTTAGCGTTGTACGGATAACTAGCTCACACACAGAGAAAGCAAGATTTTTTACGTGGAAAACCCTTAAAAAGGGGAAAAACCACGGGGCCTAGCCCAGTTGAAATAAATCAAATAGATTTTGAGTCAGTTACAAAGAACTGAATCTCCCTAAGGGCGATCAGATTTACAATCAGTAACTATTTGATAGGAATCGGGTGTTAGGCTTCATGTTACTTTGAAGTTCGGGTGTTGATAATCCGGCCTTAAGCAGGACGTCGGGCCTTGAGCAGAACGTCTGGTTTTCAATAGGACGTCGGGTCTGAATGTCGGGCCTTAAGCAGGACGTCGGGTCTGAATATCGGGCCTTAAGGCGGTGGTCCGGCGAGGTTCCTGTGGTGGTCAGGTGGTGGTCCGGCGGTGGTCCGGCGACTGTCGAGGAGGAGCTTCTTCCTTCTCTTCTCTTCTTCTCTCTCTTGCTTGGATCCTCTATTGTGAAGAATGAGAGCTCTATTTATAGTTTTTCTGGAGTGGCATGGCTTGTAAATAGGTGTGAGATCACGGGCGAATATGGAGTGGTTTGAATGGACGGCCGATATTGAACCCTTCGATCGTGCACCGTTTGTTGGACATTTGGAGGCCTTAATGATGTCGGAATTCGGCGATCTTGGGCTCGTTGGATTCGTCTCGTCGAGCCGCTCGATTCGAGTATAAGCTCGTTAAAATCGGAGATCGTTTGGTAACTCAAATTGCGGTTTGAACCTTCCAACAGCGCTTCGGGTCCTTGATTCGGACTCATTTGGGCTCGGATTGGGTTGATCTTGGTGTCGTTGGGTTCGTATTTCCGAGACGCTCAGTTTGACTATAAGCTCGCTGAAATCAGAGTTCGGATGCTCCCGAAATTAAATTTTGAAGTTTCCAACTAACTTTTTGTCTCGAGATTCGTGCCCGATCAAGATAATTTTTGCATGATGTATCACATATAAAGGACTAATTTGTTCATGGTTAATGGTTTCATCATGAATAAGATATCACAAGTTACAATTTTTCTTACAAAATCTTTTCACTTTTTTTGTTTAGCATCTCAACTTCTTTTAGAAACTCACGTAGCATGGGATCCTTAGTTAGAAGTTAAAGAGGAGACTTTCACTTAAACTTTTTGCTTTGATTCAACATGTCTACATTTATCTTCCATGGGGCCATTGGAGGTCACTAATCTTCACTCGAATATGAAGGCACGAGTTTTATCTCAAATTAAGATTTTGTTTGGGAAACCTTTTTTTTTATGCTTTTAAAGCAACTTTTTAGTACAATTAAAAAAATGAAAAATATTGGTTAAAAGTTATCCGTAATAATCTTGGTTCATCTTTGTTTAGGATCAATGAAGACTCAATGAACATATTTTCTCTAACTAATCATTGAATGTTGTAGTTTTTTATGATCTGATCTAATATCCTATTATATGGAAAGAAGTTGAGGTGGTTGGAAAAAGATAATCTTTGGAATGGTGTAACATCCAACAGTGGAATCAGCAGTACTGTTCTGAGGTTATGCACTTTGCTAGGGTTTTGGCCGCCGGTGCGATTCCTGTGGTGCAGCCCTCCGACTGCTTTTCTTCTTCCTGAGAAATATTTCTCTCCATTCTTTTTGGGTCTATTGCTCTAAATGGCTGGTAAGTGGTTATTTGATGGTGGTTTTCTTGATGGCAAACCATCGTCCAAGTCGTTTCGGGAGGCTCTTTCCGGTAACATTTCCCCCTTTCCTGAACTTAAAATTTCTACTAATCGTGGCCTTCCCTCGTTATGGATTTTTGAGGCTGAAATTTTATCGCTTGCTGCTCCTTTCGATTTTGCGTTGGTGGGGAAATTTCTGACTAACAGGCCATCTCTTGAGGCCATTCGAAAATTCTTTTTCAATTTGAAACTCAATGGAGAGTTCTCTGTTACGGTTATGAATATGAAGAACATTTTGATTAAATTAGGTAATGATTTGGATTATTATCATATCTTTACACATCGTTCTTATTTCGTGAATAATTATTACATTCGTTTGATTAAGTGGTCTGTGTCTTTTGATGTGGATGTTGAATCTCCCGTAATCTCTATTTGGGTGTCCTTCCCGAACTTGAGACCTCATCTCTTTTCTCCGAGGATTCTTCAAGGCCTTGGCTCTATTTTCGGTCACCCCCTAAAAATCGATCATGCTACCTCCTTTGGTTCTCGCCCTTCGGTTGCTCGAGTTTTGGTTAAATTGGACGTCCCTAAGAAATTCCCTGACAAGATTTGGGTTGGCCTGGAAAATTTAGGCTATGTCCAGTTGGTTATTTGGAGGATTTGCCTTTGTATTGTTTGCATTATAAATTCTTAGGTCATTCCAAGTCGGAATGTGATATTTTGTATCCACATTTATCTCAACCCCCTTTGCAGAAGGATATTCTTGTTGCTGTTGTGTCAGATTTAGATTTAGGACATAATAATTCTATTATTAATTTGAGTCCTAACCTACCTGCTTTGTCTCCTGTTGCTTTACCGTCTGTGCACCCTGTTGAGGTCATTTCCTCCCCTCCTGGAATTTGTTCTAATGTTGTGGTATTGTTTGATTGTGAACCTGTTTTTATTCCTGTTGAGGAGGTGGTAGTCATTGAGGGTGTTTTACCTGTGTTTATGTCTCCTCAGGCGGACCCTGTTATTGTCGAGCTCGAGTTTGGTGTTCTGACATCTCGTTTGTGTGCTAGTGACGATGGTGGTGGTTTTAATTCCAAATTAGCCTTGTCTCGTGTGGGTACTATGTCTGCCCCGTGTGTTTTGGTTGAGGTTGTTACGCCAGGTGTGGTTGCTGATCATTCTGGGTCCTTTGTTTCTCTTATTGTGCCGTCTGTAGAGATCTTATCTGCTTCTCTTATTTTGTTGGTTCCTGGGTGTGGTGTGGCCGATAATCGGGATATTTCTTCCTCTTCATTAAATATGGTGGTGGATAATCTGGGGCAATTTGAATGTGCTCCAAATTGTGTTGTTGACGAGAATGATAATTTTGTGAACATCCCTATTTATGTCTTGTTGAATGTTGAAATGCAAGATCATGTGGCTAAGTTCGTTAGCAATTCAATTTTGTTTCAAACTGTCTGGCTTTACTTAGAGGATGCCATGTCTTCTAATTCTAGTGGGGAAGAAGGAGATTCTATTGATTTTGAGAAAGATGTTGTTGGCCGCTTTCCTGATCGTGGTCGTGGTAAATTTAAACACAGAGGTAGGAAGTAATTGGCATATTTTTTGGGTTGATTGCTTCCGTGGTTTTGGTATTGATCGAAAGATGATGAGGAGGCCCCTGCGTCCTCTCTGTTGCTTGGCTGATTGACAACCTAGGTGTCACATTTGGTCTAGCTTCGATATGGTTTTGTCACCTATGGATGGCCCGTGCATGCCTCGTGTGTTGGTGCTGGGGGTCTCCCGCCTGAGTCCACTCTCGATGATTTCTTTCGTCCTGTTGGTTTTTTATTTTTAAGTTTCGTTCTTGTGCTTGTTGTGGCCCGTGTTTGTCTTGTTCCTGTACTGTTCTATTCCTTTATTTGAATAAATATATGTGGTTTTATAAATAAATAAAAAATTGAGGTGGTTGATATGGTTGGCTTCTTCCACTCTATTTGGCTTTGGAGTTGAAGACAACTTTATGGGTTGTTGGGAAATTCTAACAATTTAGTACATCTTTTATTCTAAGGTTTTGTTTGAGACAACTTTCTTACTACTTCTTAAAGTAAATTTTTAGTACCAATTTTTTTATTTTCATACTAAATGTTTACTTTAAGAAGTAATAAAAAGTCTCAAATGAAGCCTAAATTAGGTTAAGTTTGGTTGGTTAGCGCCTCTCATAAGTTTGTGTAAGTCTTCAAATTAGAAATTTTTGTGTTGGATGATTCAATCTGAACAAAAATGAAATTTGTATTTCTTATTTGTAGATTTCAAAGTAATTTTGAGAATATTTTAAAAAAAAAAAATCACAAATTTCATATCTTTAAACTATTTGATACATTCAAAATCACCTTAATATATAAAATTTGATGTCTTCAAATTAACAATGATAGATTTTAAACTTTGAAAAATAGGAAATTGATTTTAATTAAAAGCATTTCAAAAGTTAAAGTCGATGTTTATGTCCT